TTTACTTTTATTTATATTTTTAAAATTTAACCTAGGTAGTAACCAAAGTTTGGATTTTATAAAAGTATTTTTCGACACAATTAGACACTTAGTGAGTGAGACATTGAGTAAAAAACCAGACCCTGTGACCACTCTATGGTCATTGACGGCACTGGTATTGTCGCAGTGTTTTTGTGCCGGAATACTAGCATCGGTTGTGAACCAAGATTGGAGATATATTAATTCACTGGATGAACTACTTGAGTCTAACATGAGTCTAATTGTCCCAAATAATTCAATGGTATGGTGGGAATATAATCGTAAATTTACATATCATATAGACATCGATCCAAGACTACAAAAATTATACGATACGAATAGAGTTACTTTTGTTACAGAAACTAATATGCCATCCCCATCCACCAAGGTCTATATGTTTTATAACTAAAATATTTGCTAACAATTAACTAGATAACTTATTTTTTAGAAATTATTTAGGAATTCAGTAGAAAATCGTCGTTCGGTTTACACGAGAGACTTGTGGAGTGTTGTGATCAAGAAATTGACAAATTTAGAGATGAGGTTAGAAATTGCTGATGAGTTGTATATGCCCGCACTTTTTGGCATTCCCGTTACTAAGTGCCAGGATTATCGTAAATGCGGTGATCGCATGGATAGGAGAAAAACGCTGTTTAAAATGTAAGTATTTATTGACATTTTCTTCTAATTCCTAACATATACTACTGTATACTAATTTTATCTAATAAATGTGAGCAGAATTCAAATTCTTGTGGAATCGGGAGTTAATAATAATTGCGTTCAGAGATCGAAATATAGCATAATTTTTTGGGGATTCAAAGAATTGGAGAAAGTTATGAATAAAATGGATCACAAGTCTAAGGAATACAAGAATTTCTTCATTAATAATATAAATAGCGGACAAAACAGTGAATCTGAAAGCCTTAAGGATATTGAATTGGGTTTCATAAAAGACATGTTTGTAGTGATGAGTGTATTCTTAATATTTAGTATATTTATATTCATAATTGAAATAATGGGTGGATTTGTAGTATTTATGTGTTTCATAATTAACTATAAATTTTTATTTTGGAAATATTAATTTATAAATTATATGGATTATAAAACTTTAGATCAATGCTATAAGGCATGAAATAAAGTGACCAAAAACATGTGACAATACATATTTTGTTTTACCTAATGATTAATAAATGTTTTTTTTATTAAATTAAATACTGTATTACTATAATTAACAAATATGTTATGGAAATTTAACTTAATTTATGGAAATATCATGGAAACATAGTATTTAATAAACAATTTCTAAATAATTCTACATTGTTATTAAATGATAACAAATTAAATATTTTGAATAATTACAAAGTAACTTTCTAAATGAACTATTTTAACATTAAAAATCTAAATGTCCTTGATTTATAAATGTCTCTATCTGTATTAATTTGTAATAATTGTTGTAGACTTATTAATTGAAATTGTGTCAAATTATATTAAAGGAAATAATAAAAAATATTGTATAATTGTCATATTTTAAATTTAAGAATTATTTATATAATTTGGGTTATTTATAAACATAAATTTTAATTACAGAATACACATTAATGCAAACTTTAATTTAATTAAAATTTATATACAGTACAATAATAATTAATTTATATAATGGTGTGGTTTGAGATAAACCGGTGCCAAACCTACCCATTAGGGGACTCCTATTTAGGTGATCCCACGAGTAATCAATCGTTGATTATTATGGGTATACAACAGGTATTAAAATTTTAATTATAAATTTAATTAAAAATTTATTGATTGTATTTCACATTAGAATATATGTGAGTTTGAACAGCAAATTATCCGGGTGCTAGCTCAAGGTGTTTATGGTACATTTAATATTACTCTGAGAATATTATCAAGCTGGATTATTATCTATGAACATTTTAGCAACCACAAGGTATTTTTCTGCCCTATTGTTTAATTTTATCAATAACATTTAACATACTATTAATATGTTATTTTTAATTAACAAGGACATTGACTTTACTCTGCAATTGATGACAATAGAGGAAAGTATGCATAAAACAGCAATTGCCCACTGGGTTAGGAATGAACACGACATGGTGTTTCTTGTGGGAAAGTACATGCAAAAATCTACTGTGGCCAGTATGGTTAGCACCTACTCTAAATATATTTGGACACTTATCATGTTATGTGTTTTGTCAATTTCTCTGTATGAATATTATCGTTGTAAATTGCTAGGTTAATTTTAGTGTTATTAATAATTGAATGACCTAATTAAACTAGTAATCAAATGTTCTAGGCAAGTATAACAAGGTGCAAATTATTACTATACTTTTCAATACAATAAGACACCTATTTGTGGAGCCGTTGGATAATATACGTTCTGACAGAAATTTATTAATCGTAGCATGGTCATATATGGCACTGGTATTATCTCAAAGTTTTTGTGCGGGTATATTATCATCGATTCTACACCAGGATTGGCACTATATAAAATCATTTGATGAAATCTTAAACTCAAATATGACCCTGGTGGTGCCTAATACATCGGTAGTATGGTGTGAATATAGACGCAAATTTTCTTATAACCTGAGTATCGATACAAATTTGGATACATTATATAAAACGAACCGGGTTAAATTTATTGACGATAGTGACCCTGTCGTATTAAAAGTAAGTTAAACTTATATGTAAACAATTGGCCTATAATTAATAGATATATTTTAGGATATATTCAGATCAGTTGAAAAACAGGAAATGGTTTACGTTAGGGAGGGCTGGAGTGTATTGATCCGGAAGTTAACAAATTTAGAGATGAAGTTAGAGATCGNCAAAAACAGGAAATGGTTTACGTTAGGGAGGGCTGGAGTGTATTGATCCGGAAGTTAACAAATTTAGAGATGAAGTTAGAGATCGCGGATCACAAGTATATGCCGTCCCTATTGGGACACCCGATAAATAGATGCAAATCAATGGATAGTTGTTATCATAAAAGAAAATTATTATATAAAATGTTTGTAAAATATGCTTAATTATTAGGAATACATTTATTTAAAAAAAATTTATTTTCTATTTATATTTGTATACAGCATTCAGATTATGGTCGAGTCCGGGGTTAAAATAAATTGTAGGCAAAGGACAGAGTTTTCGATAATTTTATGGGGATTCAGACTATTGGCTGAAGTCATGAGTAAAACAGATACTAAATCTAAGGATATATTTATTAATAATATTAATAGTTATGAAAACAGTGGCACTGATAGCAAAATAATTGAATTAAGTTTCATAACTAATATTATTATAGTGTTTGCTTATTTGTGTGCATTTTCAGCAATTGTGTTTTTGTTAGAAATAATTGTCCACAATTTATTTTAATTAATAACAGATGCATTAATTTTAGTGTATAAAAATAGGTATTTAATTATAATAATTTTTTATTAGCATTTGTTTTGCATAAACCTAAAATAATACCAACCTAGATAATTTTTGTAAACAACATGTTCCCTATTAATAATATCGATTATTTAATTGACCAAAAAATATATAATTATACAACAATTAACATATTTAATAAATAAAAACATTAATTCTATTAATAAATATTGCAAATATCATATTTGACTGGATACATTATTTTACAGTTTGTACTCAAATAAAGTCTAGATTTTAATGGCTTTCATACCGGGGGTAATATCGGGTTTATAGCAATTGATATGCATTTCAATTGCATGCAATTCAATGGACTCAATGGTCTGATCGCTCATGAATTCATTGAAAGCGTTTGGATTGAGACGTTTGGTCACAGGATTAGTGATCATCACATGAAACAATGTTTTTGATGAATGAGTATTTGATTCCCGTTTTGTTTCGCAGATTAAACACCGATCCGATGGCGTCCGGAAGCATTGAACTCATCGCTGAATACAAAATATTTAATCATTAATATTATACATATTATTTAAAATTAATTAATATAAGAAATTTAAAAATAGTTTATAATTGATTTATGACTACCGATGACATGCTGGCGGACCAGATGACTGTCGTGGAGCTCAAGCGCCTCCTCTTGAAGTCGATGCGAGCGCTGGACACCCGGCGCGCCATTGCGGCCACGGATTGCTCGCAGTTGGAGATCGTCTTCGAGATGGGCCTACTTCTGGACGACATGTCCGTCGGCGACGTCCTCCACGACAGGGACCGCATCCTCATCTGTGTCCTCAAAGTCATCAAAAAGGAGCCCAAAGGTGAGACACCGGTGCTCGCGAGCCAACCGCTGGTCATACGGCACCGGTAGACAGCACCGGACGCGCTAACAATAGGTCGACTGTCGCCCAGTCCTCGAGATCTGGCGCCACTCAGAGGTAAGCGTTTTGCTTAAACCTAAGCCTCGCGCCACTCATTGTCTGTTTGGTGTGAGCGGTTCCGTCGGCGCCGGTGTGTCCGCCACTCCTGTGTCTCGCAATAGCCGCCCACACAGTGGCCAAAGAGGCGGTCGGCCATCGCATAGAACTGAAGGCATTCCAGTGGTGGCCAATGGATGAGCTCGTGTGAGACACCGGAGTTCCCGTGCAATGGGTGCGACGACCGACACCGGGTCTTCAAAACTAAGGAGGACCTGAAGGCACACAAAGCCAGAGCACATCCCCGGCCAACCCATAAGTGCCGGCATAAGGGCTGCAGGTTTACCACTCAATACTTGAATGGTATGAGCAGTCACTTGAAAGTACATCTCAAGAAGTAATTGATGTGTAGCTCAAGACATGTCTCACAATATGTTTGCATTTAAATTGTTTTGAATCTCATTTTCTTTGCATTTATATATTTTTGACGGTAAATGTATTTATTACCAGTAATTTTGAAATTAATTATGTATTCAATTTGTGTCTCATTTTTTGGATTATATTTTCACAAACAATTCCGTACTCTAAATGGTAATCACTATTTGCATAGAAATTTATTCACTTTAATACTGTTATTTTGAAATGAATTTATAGTTTTATTACACAAACCCGTGTTTAAAAAAATTAGTCAAATAATCATTCATTCATTACAAATGCTTTTCAATGTGATTATGTTTTTATAATTATAAAGTATAAACTTTATATAAATAACTTTATATAAAAAATAAATAAATAATTTTCGTGACTGTTAACCACATTTGCATACATACTCTCATTATATTATAGTAATAGTGGTTATTGTTAGACAGCTTTAACCCCAGTGGGGGTCAGACAGTGCAGTCCTATCCCGCACTGGTTATCGTTATTGCGGGCCATTTTCATATACCCGGCCTCACCCCACGTGGTGTCCCACGAGTTCTTAATGAGCCAATACTCCTGGCCATCGCTCACCCCATACCCCGCGACCACCACTCCGTGATTCATGGGGTTATGGCACGTGTTGTCCACATAGACCCCGGACTTGTAGAGTTTGAAACTTTTGAGCGACGCGTCAATACCCACGGCTACCGGGCCTTCGGAGACCATTTCCTTAAGAAATACCTCATCGCCTTCGATGTGGTAATTATACCCGGACACAGTCACCTTGCTCAAGTATTTTTTATAGCTACAGGTGCCGTACTCTTCCTTATAAGGGTAGTCCGACTCAGCCATAATCCCGCCCTCCGATTTGACCAGTTCGTAGGCCTCCGCCAGTGAACCGCCGTCTCTGCAGACATTCGGCCGATACAGACAATCCACGATATTCTGCGGTGACAGCTCTATCTTATTGCCAGTGTTGATCGTGTAGTGACCTACCGGTGCCGTCATTATTCAATTAATTTGTTCTCTCAATTGTGTGTATATTTTAGGCTTACTTTCAATGGTGTCGACCGAAGCGAACGCGAAACACGAACCGCACTATTCATTGAGACATACATTGAGTACAATAAGGGGAACGGTATCGTTGTATATACACTTACTGAACCCTGGTTCTTGATATCGGACTCCTTTGATGTCCAGTCCTGACTTTGAGGTATTATTTTATTAGTATTTCGGACATATTGTGTGAGATTGTGGACACCAGTCAGTGGTTTCATGTGAAGTGAAAGCATTTTCTGTTGAAACTCCTCATCAGTCCAGTCGGCGAACTGATTGACACCCATTCGGTACGTATGGAT